CCTTTTCCTGCTTCCAGGAAGCTTTAAATAGATTGATTAGGGGCATGCATGGGATATCTCTCTAATGAGGGAGCAGAGCCTTTTAATGGTGAGGTGATGCCAGCCTTGGATTCTTTCTTTATTCTTGTGTCTCACTGAATAGCAGAGTAGTCATGGTCTCAAGTCTCAGACAGCAGAGGAATACAATTTTCCACTTGGTCGTCCATCCAGAGGGTCTGGATGGGATTACTCCCTGGTGAAGCACCAGGTGCAGACTGAGCAGTCTAGGGCTGCCCATCCCTCTCAGGAGGCAAACCAACAAGGGTGGCTGCTGGCTACAGTGCAGGTGTTCCCAGCCAAGCATTAGCTATAGGATTTGCTTCAGTAATTACCTCTACTTCAGTCTTATGACCCAACATGAGGCAAAATTACTCTTGGCCAAATTACAAGTTGCTGAGAGGTCTAGGGCATTCAGGCATGTGCCCTCTACCTGTTGGAGTGAGTTACAAGCATGTGGGCAGTTTTTGTTCTCTGTCTTTTACATATTTTCCAGCAAACTCAAAGGCCTGTAGTTATCAATAGATGCAGGGGTAGGAATGGATCTTTTTATTCTTTAACACTAAGCAAACACACCCCTGCCACTGGGACCAGCAGAGAGTGTCATGCATGCCCGAGACAGCACATGATTGAAGGGGATGTTCCCTCTCTTCTGACCCCGGGGGCAAAATCCTTTCCTCTTTTATACACAGCAACATTCAGACCACCATCCATATACCTCATCCTCTGATAATTAGGGAACCTAAATATTTGGCTCATGGTAGCAATTCTATGTCTTCTAACAAGGGGAGCAGCGTTCCCCTAGGTCCCACTCCCTTTGAGCCGTGCTGCTATGACAGCAATGTGATTGTCACTGCCATGGTATGCTTAACCTTTGCCAAACCAGAGCTGAGGCATTAACTCAGATCCTCAACCCACATGTCTTAAAGGGCAATGTAACCTGTGCTGCCTCAGCCCAACACAGTCTGCAGCTCAGTAATAACAAGCATGAAAATGTGACAAGCATGAGCCGTAAAAATGATTGATGCAACTAGAAAAATAACAAAGAGAAGCTGAAAAATAGCAATGAGGAGGAGGAATTCCTGGGACCAGTGTCTCCATGGCACCAGCAGCCCCCTACTCTCACATCAGAAGAGAGGCTACACTTGCCTGTAGTAGAAAGGATCTCCATACCACACAATGAAATTCCAGCAAACAGGACAAGGACTGATGGTGTCTGGAAGTGGCAGTGCCACTGCTATCCAGATAATAGTTTGAATTAGATTATGTGAGAAAAGGAGGAATATATAGACGACCAGCTGCTCAAAGGCTTACTACAACCTTGCTTTTATTGTTCTGCTAAGTTAGAGGTGGGGCATCAGAGGGATTCCTAACATACCACTACTGAGAAATTTTAATATGTTCCACACTGACACATATAAAAAGGAAATAACAGCTGATCACAGCCAGCAGAGACTGCCACATCTCTTTATATGCATGGACAGAAGCATGGTCAAAGTGGGGTGCTCTTGGCTGTAACACCTGAGCTAACCCAACCCAACTAAACCTTTCTTCTGCCACTGAGTTGAGTTTCAAGTGTGAAGTCAGGCAGCAAAAAAAAAGGGTGATCTGGACATGGCTGTTCACCCCATCCTGAGATAGCAGGACATGGAGAAGGGCAGGGGAGCTGAGAGGCAGAACACTTAACACTGATGAAAAGAAACACGTGTTTACACAAGCGACAATGATCCGGGGGAACAAGATATCACAGAGGGCAAAAGTTTAGCTGGGCTCAGCAGAAGGACCTGTTGTGTATGGAGGGGGTTACAGTCGCAGGGGCTTCATTTCTGAAGGGGTTTTGGAAGGGTTGTAAACCCTCAGGACTCTGAGAGCTCAGTGGATGGGGTTAGGGAAAAATCCTTTGACCCAGCAAGTTACCCCGTAGCTGCTGCCACAGGGACTTTGTGTCTTTCTTTGATGTGGCCTCTTCCAGAGGTGGATTGCTCAAATAACAGGGGGCAACAGTCTCATGTAGCAAAACCTTCATAAAACTCACAAGGACAAGTCTCTCCTCATACTCAGAAGGAGTATGAGACAGAGAAATTTGGAATACTTATAATACAACTATCAAATATTTATAATTGTAATTAAAATAGTGCTTGGGAGGTGGGGAGGGGGAAGGAGAGGATTTTGTTTTCTTTCAGTTAGACAAATAATCCACCAGACAAGCTGCAAAAATTAATGTTTCAGTGGTTTCATGAAAGATTTCACCATAGATAGTCAATTCTCTCCAAGTTCAAGGACAACCTTAAGCACTTCCTAGTGCATCTGAGAGCTGACAAGCCAGGCAGGGAGCAAAGTCAGCCCCAGGAGAAATAGGAAATGAAGTCAGCCAAGGGAGGATTCCCTGTCAGATGAGTCACAGCAGGCATCAGTGTGAGCTCCCAAGGAGGTGGCTTATTTCCCTCCTACCTGGGCAAGAGAGACTGCAGTCCTGGCCAAGCAAGGAGGCAAGAACATGCATATGCTACCACAAGCCTCAAAGGTGAGTGAGGGATGGTTCCAGTGGGGAAGATGGCTTTTGTGGAAATCAGCCATCATGCCTAAGGATCTACCTGGGGTGCTGCTGCTGCAAACTTTACCCAAGACTGTCCATAACAAATATCCTGCTCTGCAAAGACCAGTCATCAGCACACATTAATCTGATCCAAACCAGGTACTGCACAAACCCAGGAACCGACATGGACACCTTCAGTTAGAGAAATGAGGCTGTAACTAATCATCAGACGCCCCGAATTATACCTTGTCCCTAAATTAAATTGCATTTTACTTTGTAAACTTGAAATACCTGTTCCTTCCACAATTGTTTTTAACTGGAATATCTTACAGCATTGTTTTATAATACAAAATAAGATTTCATTAGCAGTAAGAGCATATCAGTGTATATATAAGCTACATTGGGAATCCCTGATTCAAGCTGATAAGTAGTTACTCACCAAATAGTTCTATTTATGTCCATTCATATGTATAACTACTCGCAAATATGAGTAAGGTCCCACAGCAAGAGCAAAAGTGAGTATTATTAGAAATTCAAAAGGAAGGGGGAAAAAATAATAGGTGCAGGTCCTAAAATGTGTATATATTCTTTCAAGGAGGGATAAATAACAACTCTGTGATTATTACAGCCACAGTTATTGCCACACCAGGCAGCAGGGTTGCTTCTATTAGAAAATAACTTTGCAATAAAGCACTGATTTCAAGTGAGTTTGCCCTCACTGTTGGTTTTAAATAATCATTTGCCTTCAAGTGAGCTTGTCCTATTACTGGTTTTAAAAAAAACCTTTTGCCAGTCCTTTTTCAACAGGCAGAGTTCCTTCCTCTCAGCCACAGTTATAGAGGTTTAGGAGCTGTAAGCACCATGCAGAATATAGGAAATATATGTTTCATCTCTAAAGAGCTGCAGAAACTTTAAGGAGTTGCTGTCTCTTCCCAGCAGAAACAAGTAAGTTGTGTTATAGGGAGGCTATGAGAGAAATTTCAATGAACTTGCCGGGTAGGATAAGAAATCTGCCTGGCAGTCCCACGAGAGTCAGTGCACACACAGGCACACACACACACCTCATCTTGCAAATCCAGATTTGTCACGAGAAAATCGCCCCCCCAGCACACGCTGCGTGTGACCCTGCAGCAGTAACTAACTCAGCTCTGAGACTGGTCTTTGTTACTCCGTTCTTTGCTGCTGGACCCGCTCAGCTGAACTTTTGCAGGATGAGTTCACTCACCTGGAGGCCAGCAGGGAGCCGGGGCTGCTCCTCAGCCGCGCTCTGCCCGGGGCGGCTCCCGAGCCCCCGGTTCACTACGCTGCCACTCGGTCACCGGGCTCACGGCGGCAAAACTCTCCTTTCGTCCCAGAGGAGCAGAGAACAGCCATGCCCGTGCCTCTGGCGCTGCCACACAGGGAAATGCTCTGCCGGGAGCGGAGGAGAGCCTCCCTCTCTGCTGCAGCGGGCGAGCTGGGGTCGCGCAGCATCCTCCCGTGTCAGCCACGCCGCGCTCCGGGTCCCGCCGGCCGCCTCCCAAATATACCCGGGCACACAGCAAAGCCGAGCACCGGGGCTTTCCTCACCGCCCTCAGCCAATAAACAGCGCCTGCTAAATCTGTCCTAATCCACCACCAGAGCTGTCCGGTCCATTGGAAAGCCTTGCGGAAGTTTGGATAAATAATAATGCGCGAATTACGAGCGCTCCCGCGAAGCGTGAGGCGCAGAGCTAGAAATAAATATTGCCTGTTGTTTCAAATTATTCTGAGCACTCCAGCGGATGACTGGCAAGAGAACAGGAGGCGAAAGCGGTGATAGAAGTAAACAGTCCGACTTTAAAGTAGCAGGCTTGGCCGTGCTGGTAGAGCCCCATTGTAGCGGGACAAAGGGGGTGCTGGCGATAGCAGCGCTCGGTGAATTCAGGGCAGAGCCCAGCATGTCCCCTCACTCCGGAGACACCAGCTGTGACCAGCACCGAGCTGCAGACCGGAGCAAAGCACCCTCACAAGAATAGGTGTTAAACCAAGTTGCTCAGAAGCACACCGGACCACCTATTTGACCACATACAGGCAGCCTCCAGACAGGAGATAAGGACACAAGAATAAGGAGACACGAGGACTAGAGCTGTGTTGATTCCATTTAAACACGGTTTAATTTAAAAAAAAAACGGTACAAGGAGAACATGTCTTTGTCAGATAAAGCACACAGTTTAAGTCCATGTAATACTCACAATCTGTAGGAATCTCTTATTTGCATGCTTACCTTTGGAAAATGCACCACTCCTTCCTTCCCTCAAACTCTTTGGGGAGCTAAAAGAAGTCCTGTTACTTCCAAATGCTTTTGTTCTTCTGTCCCTCTGTCACATGGCTTGCCTTTTATATTTGCAACACACAAAAGTAAGGGCTGTTGTTTAAGAGAGAGAGGGAGAGAGGGAGAGAGGGGGAATGTCAAATGGAAAAGTGCCATTGCAGTCATATATCAATCAGGGCAGCAGCAGCAGCAGCTCGCTGGCAAATGGGAATTCCACAGAAATGTGAAGCTCTTGTTATCTGAGAAATCAAAAACACCACCAGCCAAGCTCCCTTCTCCAGGGACTTCTTATTATTGGCAAGCCAAGAAATAGAAGGAAATGTAGGCGCTTTTTTAATTGCTGTTATTGTTTCAGATCTGGAGATAAGGACGCTGTGGCATGTGTAAGCGAGTGGAATATAAATCCTGAATTAAATTCCTTCCTAAACAAATGGACCATGTGCAAGATAAAGCAAACCACTGAGAAACAAGGTAATGAAGCTAAGTGAAGAATCTGACAGTAATGATTTAAAGAATTTGATAACTGTTTGCACTTGGAAAATATCCATAGAAAAACTACCTGCTCCCTGGATTACTCATTAATCTCTCTCTTTTTTTTTTTTTTTCTCATGACCAGTTTTTCTTAGGCTTTTTTTAACTGTGATTGATCTCAGATAGCGTTAATTCAAGATATGCTGCTTCACTACAATTGGTCGACTAAATCATCTGGCATTCTCTGGCTCTCCAGTTAGGTAAGCAGGCAAGCATTTTCTGTATAAATACCTCTCTGCAAATCTGAGATTCCCCTGCTTCCGACAACCTGCCCTGAAATTCTGAAGTTTCTGTCAAATAAAATTGGAACTTTGCTCAGAGAAGAAAAGTTTCTTTCTACTTTACACACCTTTCTCTGAAGAAGGCCAAGTTTGAAAGAAATTATTCTTTAAAATATTTCATAAAATATTATGGGTCTATACCAAAAAAAAAAAAAAAATGCCCTGAGAGGCTGAAGGCAGGTTCCATCCACTGGCAAACCCCATTTCAAACAAGCATTCACAGCTCTGGATGCACCAAACCCTCTTCTCTGCAGAGGAGGGTGTTTCACTTCCCTGTGGAGTGCCCCCTAGTCATCCTGCAGGATTGTGTGAAGCACAGACCTAAGCTGGTTAATCAAAAAATAGGCAACATAGCTGGCCATTCACAAGCTGGATCTGTTCAGAGGCACTGGCTAGCAGATGGACAGGTTCTGTGTCAATTGTGTTTGAACTCTAAAGGCAAGTTGGTATTTGATGGATGATGTTATTAGCTAAATGTCTTACGTGGTATAAGATCAAAGAACAGATGGGAATTATGCCTTAAAAATAGAATAATCTAAAAGGGGAATGGCTTTTAGATGAGTAAGCATCATGGAAACAATAAAGGAGACTTTCTTTGGCTTGCTTTGCTGCACAGCCAGGTTTGACCAGTGGGATAAACAAAAAACCCACTTAGAAGCAGAATTCTTAAGATGTCAGTTTTGCTGCACATTTTCCCCTTCATATTCAGTGTTTACATTGTTTTGCCTCTTGAGTCAACCTTGTGTTTCTCTCCCTGACCAAATGTGTCCCAGCTCTCTGTTCCCTCACAAATGCCACTGAGGTCACCCAGGGTGGGTGGTGGCAAAGCTCAGCAGCACCTTCCCCTCACTGTAACCACAGACTGAGACTGCTGCTCTGGCACAGCTCTCAATTTAAACAGAGAAACTACACTCTACACAGAAACTACTACACAGAAACCTTTGTTAATTAGCCAGCACCTTCCTTTAAAATGAAGGCTATTGGTGATTGCACTGCTGTGTTTTCTGTCCTTTTCCACTGGCAAGAAAGTGATTTAAATACCCTGGTTACTCTCACTAAGAACCTCCCACGTGCAAGACAAAGTGGCTTCTGCATGAAATCCTCCAGGAGACAGTGGATATCCTACTCATGGTCCTCACTAAAAATGGCACTTTAGGGTTTTTTTACTGGCAACACTTAGGCTTCTTATCTTTGTCTCATCTGCAGATGAAAATATCTGTATTTTTTTTCTGTTGGGTGCTGAGAATATTAAACAATTATCAATTACTCCTCAAACTCCTTCTACTTTTGAGATGTAGTGCTCAGCAGTTTGCTACCACAACACAAATCCTTAGTACAGAAAAACCAGCAAAAGTGACTTCCAATTTTTTTATCTTCAGCTTCCAGACTCTGTTTGGCAGCCAGTGGAAGTTAATCAGCAATTAATTGACTGCACAGCCTGGTGACTTATAAACTGACACTCTCATTTGTGGCCTTCTGAATGAACTTGCACATGATCACAAGCTCAAAAGTAGAAACATTTAATGTAGCCTTCCCCCAACTCAAGAACACTGTGGTCCATAACTTTTTCATAGCTGCTCATAAATCTTTAGCCTCTCTCAAACACCGTGCCTTAATCCCACCCATAAAACCAGACATTTCGAAGAAGCAAATAAAAGCAGAAAGAACAGGAGCTCAGAGCTCAGTTTTCAAAGACCACGAGACATCTGAGATGACCCCAGATATAAGATAATATTTCCAGAAGATTTAAGGTATTCTGCTCCCATCAGTTCTGATCTGAGTTCTTTTCAAAAAGGCTTATCTCACTTAGAAGTATTGGCCTGAAAACTAAATTTAGGCTCTTCCAGAAGCAAATGTAGAGTTTCCATTCCAAATTGCTTCCAGTCCAGGCCCAATTCAGATTGACATCAGCATCAGTTTTTCTCTGTGTAAACAACCATAGATATTCTGTTCACTCAGTTGCACTAAATATATGCTTTTTTCTTTTTTTAATAGAGAATCAAGTGAGATAAATCCCTTCCTTGTAGTCTCAGGATGTACTTTTGAAGAGATGGGGACCCACTATTTCGTGGAGATGTACCAGACTCCCTAGTTCAACTCCCTCAATCCCCATAAAGTGCATTGGAGACCTACAACTCTATTCTTGATTCCACCACCACTGTATGACTTGCAAGACTCATGTTTGTCCTCAGAAAAGCATTGGACTACCATTAGCTGCAGTTCAATGGGACCCAAATGTTTCCCCTGTTGGCACCATCAACCCCATGCTCCTTCTTCAAAGGATCAGGATTCCACCTCTCCATCGTGCATGAGTTGTGAAATGCATTCAGGCTTGTGCAGAAAACTCAGTATTTCATTTTCATTTCCCAGTGCTGCCACTTTGTAGTGATCCTCAGGCAATTTTGACATTCTGAGACAGCAGGTAACAGACCACAAAATCATCAAACGTTCTGTTAGAACAGGCATTGCTTGGTATCTGTGCTGGTTGTGTCTGCAAAGACCAGGAAAGGAGTACAAACACAAGGACAACCTTTAAATGTAGATACAGACTCACACCCAGGCAAAACCATTGCACCCCTTTGGTGGAAGCAGTTGGAGGGAGTGGGATGCACAGGAATGCAGTTCAGGGAAAGGCCATGCTTTGTTCTATTATTGAATTGATGAAGGAGGGTTTATATCTGGGGATAGGCCATCAGTATTCCTCTCATAGTTGTGAATGTAGGAGGAATTGAAAGCATTGTAATGGCAGTCTGCAGCAACAAAAAATGTAATACTTATAGAATGAATTTATACTTTGCATATGTTAGAGGTACTCAGAATTCTTAGAGGAATGTTTTTCTATAATTTTAATAATAAAAATAAATATTAGGCAAATAATATTCCCAAGAAATAAAACTACATAACCACATACATCAATGAAGAAGCAGGTGGCACAGAAATCTGTTTAGACACTGAAAGCTTTTCATCTTTCTCCCCATGGTGCTTTATCTCAGATTTGTTATGCAAGGATATTTAAATACCTAAACACACATAATCTCCTGTAAACTAAATGTGTCTCTTCTTTCAATGTTTATATGTATTAATGAATGTGTGCTGTTAAGAAACAGTAAGTGGAAATATTTATTCAGTAATTTACACAAATACTGTTATTACAGCAAGACTCCTGTCATCTGGGGATAAGGATGCTATGGAGAAGTCTGTTAAAATTAGGTCTAAATTAAATGCTTATTAATTTTAAGACAGAAAGACATATTGGCTGTGGAAAATACTTAGCCTTTAGGCTGACTTGAAAATGCAGCTGCAGGAGGACCAGAAGTTGGTGTTCCCCTGACTCCTTCAGCAGGAAGAAGCAGTTGGCCAGGTAGGGTCACCTCCTCAGAAGTGTGCTGCCCACAAGGCACAAATTGCTGTGGGCTATCAGTGCTTAAAAATGACAAGCTGAGGAGGCTGACACTGAAATGTGCCAAGGGGAGATCCTGGATGAACATCGTGGCCGTGGCTGGGGGAGAGGTGGGCAATGCTGTGGCACAGGAAGGTTTTCATGAGTGGTTCAGGCACACAAAGTCACAGCCAGTCACTCACCAGGAGCCCTGATGGACAGTTTGCACAGGACAACTGAAGAAGCCTGGATTTCTAGGTATTTTTTCTCTATTTACCTCATGGTTACCCACTCAGATTTTCCCCTACATAACCATCAGCTCCTTGATCTTCACATCTTTTGATAATGTGGATTTAAACTCTTTGCCCTTTGCTCACTCCCACAATTTTTTCAACTGCTTTTAAAGCCACTACAAGACTGCTGGCTGAGCAAGGGGCAGCACACCCTCACTGAATAGCAAACACATCCTGTGGCTTCTTGCCTCCCCAGGCTGCAAGTTGTGAGGGCTTTGGTTTCCCTCTGCAGGAGAACAATAGGATGCAACATTCCTGCCCAAGCATCACACCTCTTCACATGTCCAGGAAATTGTCCAGAGACTTAGTTTTCTCTGTAAGATCTCAGCCTTGCTGTTAAAATTGATTTAATTTGAGCAGCTGGATGAAAAACTGCAGGGAGACACTAACATCAGGGCCGAGAGACAAAAAGCAACTCAATTCTACAAGAAACTTGTAAATAAATAACAGAGTAAAAATATCTGTTCTACCTTCAGGCTGCTGAAAGATGGAGTGCCTCTTCCCCAGAAGAGACTGTTGTTACTGTGATCCTTGTCCCCATCCCCTTTGGAGCAACTGTCTGCACCTCTCTGATGTCCTTTGTCACTATTTTATGCCTAATGGAGAAAGAGAAAAGCTGCTGTGTTTCCCTGAATTTTAACAGCATGGATCAACTGTTCTGCAGACAATTGTGAGTTTTACCCACCCTTCCTGAAGGCAGTTGTCTTAGTCTCAGCAGAGCTCCTCTCTCTGTCAGTGGAAACCACAAACAGGTACTGCCTGAAGGGCTGCTCATTTTGTTCCTGATGGGAGGTGGAACTCCCTTTTGGCAGTATCTGTTTATCTCTATTAATAACAAAAGGAGCCAAGAGTCAGCTTGATTTAGTCATCCAGCTGCTGAACACCTTGGTTAGGGCAGATGAATTCCACCTTCAAGGTTGTTTCTAATTATCTTATAAGCACGTGCAGTAGATGCTTAACCTACCAGCTAAACATCTGCAGTTGCACATAGGTCAGTGTCAAATATCACACCTTTTTCCAAGGCTGCAGGGAAAGTTTTGCATCAAACACTGTGGGATAATGACACCTGATGTGCAGGGATCAATTTGCAGCACATGGCTTCCACCTGATAGAGAGAGAAAGAATCTCTCTGTGAAAACTGTGACATGTCAGATGTTTATCTGAGTACCAAAGAATGGAAGCTTGCATGTGGCAATTTCTCCAGTGTTTGTATTTCCAGGTCCCCACATTGGTGATGTGTGGTGCACCTTGGGCATCAACAGTGATCTCTCTACCCCACTGTCCCAAACCACAAACAATAACATTTCTGCTGATTCCTGTCCTCAGTGTTTCCCAAGAGGTCTGAATTTGTCAGAAAGTCCTAAACAGCACCCAATGGCACAGCTGGAAGTTTTGCATGAATACAAACTGAGGGTTAAGGATTCAAAATGTGGTTTGAAGTAGCTTCCCCCAGCACGGGTCAGATCCTGAGGGCTCCCTTGAATACTGCATGTCACTGAGCATCAAAATGCAGCTTCATTCTGAGGATGCTTTGCACAAGATGGAGAAAACTCTAAGGTAGCAGGAATATCTCCTCTCTATTGAGAAAAGCATCATTGCCTTCCTCAGGATAACATCAAGTTATGATTGTGGTTTGAACAATATTTCCATAATGACTGAAAACTACCCAAAAATTTGCTTAGCGCTGTAAAACTGACCTGGCAAGATACAGCCAGCTACTAACAATAGCAACCTTATTTTATTGCAGTCTCCTGCCAATACCCACACAATATTATTTTCTTGCAGTAAAAATGCAATAAGCAAAGTGGAGAAGACGCTTTTCTATGCTATGTACTATGAAAAATTAAAGTGAAATCTTTTGTCTATGACTCAGGTTTGAGTGGCCACTCCATGTGCAACACCTCATGTTTTAAAAGGAGGCACTAAATGAAATTCAGTCTCAGCTAGCCAGTTTGGGTTAAATCTGCAGGGCAACTCATCATATGGGAAGTTTCTGAGAAGAAATGCTATTTTGAGCAAGAAATTGGTGATTCATAATTGACATTAACTCCAGTTACCCTCCAATGTTCATGCGGTACTTCATGTGAAATTATTATAAGGAAAGAAAGGCCGTTCCCTTGAGCAAGTTCAAGTTAATGTTTAGGAAACCATTTAAGTTATTATTAGGACAAAAGTCATTCCAGTGGAATGGTCAGACGCTCAGACTGCGCCCCCAGCTGCACAGCCTGTGCCTTTTAATACCCCTTTGCAGGTAGCTCTTCAGACATTTGGTCATTTTGGCCAATTCAATGAAATCCTGACTTCACCACTGTCCCAGTCAAATCTCCCACCTACTGGAACAGAGCCAGAAATGAGTCCTTTCTTAGCACTAATTGCACTGAAATCCATGCTGGTGTCCAGTTTTACACACACAGGTCCCTGTGAGGAACTCCTGGAGGAGGTGGGAGCAGAGCCACAAGGACATTCCCACACATGGGCAGCTGCACGAGGACCTGGCCTCAAGGCAATATTGGTCCTGTACTGGCAGATACCAAAATTGCAGAATGATACAATTCAGCTGGTGTAATGAGACAGCCCAGGGCTGTATCCTCACCTAATGAAAGCCAAAAATGCCCTGTGGCTTATGCTGTAAACTGTGACCTTGAACCAGGGGTAAATCTGGTGCCCCCACTGCCTGGTCCTTGGCAGATGGATGCTTTGCCTCTTGGTGTCCACAGCAGAGATGAAGCTCTCTGAAGTTCTTCAGAATACTGCTCTTGATTCAGTCTAAATGGACATATGAACTCAATTATTTCACCATAACATTAGCATAGAATAAGGAATTAAGCAGACCTTGTTATGGATTGTGGTGTGAGTAAAGCTTTGGCATCGTATGCAATTTTTTTATTATTTTGTTCTTTTCTGAATAGAAGCAGAAATATCTTTCTAATATAGAATATGCCTTAAACTGCGAGTGTAAATCAGAGGCAGGCTTCAGGTAAAGAAAGAGATTAAGGACTCATACAGTTATAAATTTAAGTACATTTGAGCTTGAGAAAAGCAGTTTAAACTACTGCCTCATTATTACCTTTAGAAAAGAGGGATTTGGATTCCTCTCTACAAGAAACCCTGCAGTCCCAGTGCTGTGCATGACTAAGGACCCCAGAAGAAAAGCCAGTCACTCTCCATAGCTGGTCAAGCTCCTGGGGCACAGAGAGTTGACAGGTGATGGAAAGCCAAAGCATCCACCATCCTCATTGAGCTGCTACTTGGGCTGTGATTAGTGAGACAACAGAAGGATTTTTTTGGGGGGTATCAAGAGCATCAGCACCCAGCCTCGAGAGCAAAACTGAGAAAACATTCTTCGTGTGAGACCAGAGGTGCAAAATGTCCTGGCAGGGCTGAAGCATGCTGGAGTTGGAAAGGATACTAGAAAAGGGTATAAACTGTGGTGTACTGAGTGTGATCATGGTAAAGGCTGAGACAGCTTGCAAGACAAAGGCAGAAGAGGCAGGAGAATGAGCCATTCATTCATGGATCCAAAGAATCCTCAGTTCTGCTGGGCAAAGGAATCATTGTAGAAATGTGAGTCCTGTACTTCATCTGAAAGCTAAAAAGATAAATAAGAGGTTATCAAACAGAGGCTGGAAACAGGGAAGTTTGGCTTCACCTAGCAGAGCCAAAGCTACAGCACAGCTCCAGGAGCTTCAGGAACATACCCTTGGCAAGAGCCTCTCTTGGAATTACTGCCTGGGTTAGAACTTGGAGGCTACTGCAAGAAGCAGAATTAACTCTGGAGCAAGGAACTAGGATTTCCAAAGCAAAGGAAGTCAACTAGAACAGGTTGAGGCTGATGCAAGGCTGCACAAAGACTGAAAAGAGCCCTGAAATGGGAGGCAAAGCCCAGTCTGCTGCAGTGGGAGACACTGAAAACCAGATATCGTGTACATACCTTGGCAAGCCACAGCTGAGCCCAGCATTTCGGAAATGAGAAACAACAGATTACCTTTTCTGGGAAAGAATCAACATGAACCTGTGAGAGGATGGTGACAGCACCATTAGAGGCAAGGGGCTTATTTACAGGAGCCATGAAAAATGCTGTGGGGCAAGATAAAAGGACAGCCAGCCCATAGGCAAATGGCAATAATCAATTTTCAGCTGGACAGAGCTGCACAAGCTGATAAGGGTCTGACAGGGTTACGAGCACTGAGAGAAAAGCTACAGGCAGCATAAGGGAAGAGAAGAAAGGGCTCAGAAGGACTGCTCTTCACTGAAGGAGATAAAGGCAAATGAAAGAGAGAGTTCATAATGATGTCAGGGGTTTTTAAAATGTCACATCCTTGATCTCACCCCCAGGGTGAGCACACTGCAACAGAACAACAGCAGAAATGGCTAAAAATCTTCTAAACTGCAGAAGAGAGCACAAAACCAGCTCAATGTCCCCATCTCCACAGGGATGGCTGGAGCCTGGCACCCCCAGCCCAGGGTGAGGTTTGAAGCACACTGCTGTGAGAATCAGTACTCCACAACCATCCACAGGAAGAAATGTTGCTTCCTTGCAAAAAAGGAAAATTAAGTTATTATGTGAAGTTATGAGGGCAAGTTTTCCTCTCTGCCCAGAGAGAATGGCTTCTAGGAGGCAGCTGACAGCACATAAAACACCTGGAGTGCTCTGGTATTGAGAGTCCAGAGGAGGGACATGAAGATGGTTAGAGGGATGGAACACCTCTCACAGGAGAAAAGGCTGAGAGAATTGGGATTGTTCAGCCTGGAGAAGAGAAGGCTCCAAGGCAACCTTATTGCAGCCTTTCAGTGCCTGAAAAGAGATTCAAACTGGAAAGGAACTTTCAAAAGGGCATATAGGGATAGGAAAAGGGGTGATGGCTTTAAACTAAAGGAGGGTGGGCTTAGATTATATATTAGGAGGAAATTCTTTGCTGTGAGGGCGGTGAGGCATTAGAATATATTGCCCAAAGAAGTTGTATGTGCTTTATCCCCTCCTCAATTGGACCTCCCCTATGGCTCTGTGGTTGATGCAGCAAGATGTGTTGTATCGTGGCACAATTGTTTACTGAGTTAAGAGAATCAAATAGTGAAGGCCAAACGAAATGGTTTTGCTTCTTCAGAGCAGAAATTCTCAAAATAATTAAAATCAAACCTTATGATACAGAAATGCAATATCATGGTTTGATGGCTTTGTTTTTCTAAGGATTTGGGTTGTGTTTTTTTCTGAGGTGATTACATTTTTACAGAACATTTCATTTGCATTTATGCTGTACTTTCCAGTAGAAAATTATGTCATAAGAAAACATAATTTATCTCTTCTGGAGTTTTGCAAGAGCAAAATTGCAATTCAGATTGTCTGTAGCTGTAAATCAAGCACACTTATTTTAATGGCCTGGTCTGCAGAGCTGGAGAGGCAACCTCTACCCATCCAGTTTGTAATGAATTGATGAACATCCCTGCTCCCCACAGGAGTCTCAGACTGCTCATAATGCTCAAGCATTGATGTCTCTATATGAGCAGTTTCTTTAATTACCATTGCCAATTCTGATTTTCCAGGTAAAGGCAGCCACCTTGCTCAAACGTTGGAATCATTTATCACCTGTCATGAAGGAGAGTCTCTTGGCATCCCCCTGTGCAGTAAGATATGCTTTGATCTCAAAGCATTCTATCTACGGTGTAGTAAGACAAAGCACCACCTGCTATGAAGCTTGACAGACTATATAAAATATAATTTATGTACATTACCATCTTGTCTGACATAAAAGAATCACATAAGAGAACAAGAAGCAAAAAAATGTTGTAACTGTAGTCGCAGGCACAAATATCTTTAATTTATGACAGACTTAATAAAATAGGTTTTCTTCCAAATACACAACTCTTTCCAGGAGCTGTGCAGTGACTTCATTTATATGTTCTTAAATGAAAAGAATGCCTGTAGTCAATACAGTGAAATGAAAAATTGAAATATAAAATGAAAAATAAAAATATCCAGAAGATCTGATAAATGTGTCTGGTCAGTCTTTTGTGTACAAAGGACCAGAAATCTCAAGATAAGGGCTAAACCCACGAGTCAACATGTAATTAATTTTCAGATCTTCAGGTGAATGAACTCCATTAGCAGCAACACCCCAACTGCCCCCCAGATGCACAGGGATGAGCAGGAACATTGTCAGGAAAGATGAGTTCCACTTCCCACTAATGGACATCACCACATCCAGGTCCTTCAGATGATCCAGAGGTGATCCATCCAACTCCCAAAGGGAAACCAAAATCCTGCTGTTCATTAGCAGATTCTAGGGTCCAGGCACATCCCCTCATGACATGCAAGGCATCAGGATCCTGCACTTCCATTCCTTTATAGACATGGCATATTTGTGGGGCACTGTCTTTCAGGCAGACCAAAGAGGTCCTACTGCAATTAATGCAATGTTCACTTCTCATCTAGATTCAAGTACAGCACCAGAAATCGGTAGCAAGGGTTACCCAACCCTGCAAAGTCGAGTTTTTCTTCTTGTTTGCTTTCCAAATGAAAAATATTTTTCAGTTGTGTTTTTGATGGGGAAAACCAACACATCTATCACCCCTGCCACATTTTTTATTCTCTCAGTAGCGAGCATCTGTCTTAATGAAAGAACTTCAAAGAAAGCCAAAGTGATTTTTTCATGTTATGAATTTGCCCAGACATTAATCATGTTTAAATGTCATCTTCCGTTTTTTGTTATGTCCTTATAAATAAGATTATCCTGCTACTGTTCTGCAAATTTGTTTATAGGAAAAAAATTCCAAGCCCCATTTCTTGCTTTCTACTAAAGTTTGAAGTTTATTCTTAAAACCTCCTGGAAGCAGAACGAAAATGGTTCAAATTTTCACTTGGTTGGAAAGAGAAGTGCTTGGTAGGAAAAGATCAGGGAGATACTAAGAGCAAACAAGGTTAAACAATATTCTTGTACTTACTGAATCTCTAATTTTTGAGTGTCCAACCTACAGCTGCTACTGCCAGCCAAGCCTGATGTTTTTACATTTTCTTTTGACATTTGAAGATTAAGTAAATCATGCTTATGTGTGATAGTACCAGCACACACTTGACTCCAGTCTCTCCCCACCTCTGCAGGACCTGTCGCCAAAGGGATGCTGTGGAAACAGCATCAGGTGGAGATGGCCAGGAACACACACCCATGCAGGAGACCACCACAACTAATTAATCTCCTGATTAAAGAGAGCATTGGCAAAATCTCCAGCTCTTCCCTTCTGTGCTGAGCAGTTGCTATTGGTCTATGTTCATGTGCAAATCTACCTGATAGGCATGTGCTTGTTATCTCTAGATTTGTGTTTATTTACCACTTCAATTTTTAGTGAGGATACAATTCAGGTTACCAGTTCTTGGCTGCTGTTTGTTTTACAAAGTAAACATGAAGCAATTGACTGTAAGCATTGAGTCTGCTGTGCTTTACTGAGGTCTGATTAGAAAACCACTAAAATCTCCTTGAAAGCAATCCACTTTCTAAATGTTTCTCAAAGGTATCTAGGATTGCCTTGCAGAAGCAGAGTATTGAGCTTTCTTTTATTGTCATTTACTTCTGATCCTGCCTCACATGGCTGCAAGTTCATTTCAGCAACTTTTGCTGATGGTGAGAACAGACCTGAGTTGTTTTTCTTGAGGATTCCCATTCTGTATGGAGAATGAAAACAGTTGAGTCAGACAGGGATGAAGTGAGGAGTGGGAGAGGGAAGGGAAGGGAAGGGAAGGGAAGGGAAGGGAAGGGAAGGGAAGGGAAGGGAAGGGAAGGGAAGGGAAGGGAAGGGAAGGGAAGGGAAGGGAAGGGAAGGGAAGGGAAGGGAAGGGAAGGGAAGGGAAGGGAAGGGAAGGGAAGGGAAGGGAAGGGAAGGGAAGGGAAGGGAAGGGAAGGGAAGGGAAGGGAAGGGAAGGGAAGGGAAGGGAAGGGAAGGGAAGGGAAGGGAAGGGAAGGGAAGGGAAGGGAAGGGAAGGGAAGGGAAGGGAAGGGAAGGGAAGGGAAGGGAAGGGAAGGGAAGGGAAGGGAAGGGAAGGGAAGGGAAGGGAAGGGAAGGGAAGGGAAGGGAAGGATGCAGAAAAGAAAGTGCAAACTGTTTTATAACCTTGATTTAACACTCAGTCTGAGCCAGACCTGCTATACAGAATATGTTTCCTTGGGGGTTTATAATGCAACTACTACAGAGAAACCAGCATGATCTGACACAGCATGAACTATTCAGCAGCCTAGTAAAAATATGAATAGCTCATAATGACAGGAGAATCAAACTGTTGCTGTCTGGAATGTGAGATTGTAAAACGTGAGATGATAAAATATCATGATCCAGATTGAAAATCAATATATTTGTTAAAGTTGCCAGCAAAGGAACATGGACTATTGGAAAACAGCCAGTGCATTCCCTACAGTTGCTACCAGCATTCTTTGGATAAGGCAAGAAGTTGTAGGTTTAAAGTAAAAATAAATTAAAGGGTTGCTATATCAATCCAATGTATTCAAAAATAGAAAATGAAATGGGAAGCAAGTAGTGAAAATTTAGAGTGGAGGGTTGAACAAGGGCAACTGCAGTACTGATATCTCGAAAACAACAGGTACATTACCCTGACCTGGAGGGGTTTTCAAAAGGTGCTTTGCTGTTAGGCAAAAAGGCAATACCCTTGCAATTTAAAGGGATTTGTTGTTAGAAACTCTTGGATTAGGAAATTTTACATGCACCAAGTGAAATATCAGAGAGAACCAGCCAACCTGTCAGGTTGGTCACTGGGGTAAGTAATAGCAGTGAAGTACCCTTCTCAGGTAAGAACTTAAACAAATGTTTAGACTGTGCATATTGCTTAAGTGTTTATTTAAGCAATTGGATACACCCAGGCCACACTAATGAAATTCAGCTGCTATTCATCCCACCACACAAGGGTGTCCTCCATAGCATAGATATGAAAGCAAATACGATAAAAGGAAAGGTGAAATAAGAAAAGAGGTGCTACTTACCTGTGCTATGCATTTTGTCTTTTTTTTTTTTGGTGTTTTTTTTTTTTTTTTTTTTTTTTTTAATGGAGCCATTTGTAACCAATCCTTAGCATGGTTTGTATTAAGCTTGGATCACAAATGACACTTACCATGCAGCTGTTTACATCTGGCTCACAGGTGGTGTTTGCCAGGGGCAGATGGATGCCTTAGAGGGACTTTTCAGTGCAGAGACAGAGAGGAGAAAAGGGTGAGGGTCTTTACTGTTCCCTACCTGGGTTCCTTCCCAATTAAGCCTCCTGTTATGAAATACAAGTCAGTTTGCATGGAAATACTGATTGGAGAAAGCTCCAGATTTTCCTCTAAAGTCGTGAAAAGTGTAGTAGTGAATATGTGAAGGAGTACAGGGCATGCTGACTAGAAAAATCAATATTGTTTGGCAATCCAGCTAAAGCTTCCAGCAACAGGAGCTCAGGGTAGAGCTGTGTTGGGATTGCAGAGTCCATTGTCCTGACTGCCCCAGGGGACAGAAATGGGTGCATCAGACTAAAAATCTGTCAAGGATTCCCAGATATCTGGCACTGTGGTTTATACCTCCACACAGGCATTAAAAACCCCTGCATGATGCAGAGCTCAGTGCTCCTGTTCCCCACAGGCTGAGGGGCCAGCCCTGGTTCTGAAAACCTATTCACCACTGCTGGAGCTCACCCTAGGTCAGGGGTGGCTCTGTGTGGTGGAAAAATCTCTCCTCCAACCCGTGCTTCCAAAGAAAGGCTCAGCAGTCTCTGTTGTCTGGTCTCAAGGCAGTTTATTGCAAGTTATCTAAAAGATTTTCTTCTTGGGCTGCTGTGGTTTGCTCAGCAGCTCAGGCAGAGGCACACACACACCCTGACATCCTCTCTGGCTCCCGACTGCTTCTTCTCTCTCCCAGCCCAGGGCTGCTGCTGTCTTTTATATGGTACATTACGTGTTACATGTTTATAGTTTTTTCCCAGTGCCTATTACCTGTATTAAATGGTGCTTTTCTACTCTAAACTAATCTGTGAGTGCCAACATCACCAAGAACATGGAGGTAAGGAAGAAGAAAGAGGGAGGACAGGACAGGCCCAAATCCCTCCATCTTAAAACTTCTGACCCCCATGTACAAAACTAAAACCCCCCTGTACAGGACTTAAAACCCTCCTGTACAGCACTCAAAAATTCTTCCCTCTACTTTGTGACTACTTCTACTATAATATCTAAACTTTTGTGACTCCTTGTTCTTCCTGCAAGGTAGGTAAATCATTCCATGTTTCAAATCCAAAATCACAGTTGTTCCCAGCTGCCTGCCAGGGTCTCAAATGCTTCTGACCTGGACCCGGAACATCCAAAAATGTCTAAGGGACATTTTGAGTTCCAACACACCACCATCTGCTCAGAAACCAAGTGCTGGGTCTGACAGGGGACAAACCTAGAGGCTGAGGGGAGACCTTAATGTGCTCTACAGCTGCCTGAAAGGAGGCATCAAGTTGAACTGGGGGAGGTTTTTGTTAGCTGTTATGAAAAATTTCTCCACAGAAAGTGTTGTCAGGCATTGGAACAGGACGCCCAAGGAACATGGTGGAATCCCTGGAAGGGTTCCAAACATGTGGGGATGTGGCACTCGAGGACATGGTTTAGTGGGGAACATGGTGTGGTTCTAGGTTGACAGCGGGACTCATGATCCTAGAGGTCTTTTTCCAGTCTTAATGATTCTGTGGATCTGTGCAAACCTGACTGGAGAGCAGGACTTGTGCACAATGTGGGGCCTGTGTAACACACGGGCTGCAAGGAGGAGAAACCACCACGTCTTGCCTGTATTCTCCCACCCATCATACCCTGAGAAAGTAGAAAGCTGCAGGGCAGAAGGATGCAGGAGGCAGGATGGGGTGAATGAGCAGGAATTCACCACTTCCATTACCAGCCTGGCACTTTCAGAGCCAAGAGCATCGGGGCTTTGGCAGGGGAGTTTTGTTGGAGAGGAACAATGCCACAGACACGGGTGTAACAA